CCTGTCCCATCACGCAGCTATCTGCTTCGAATCCGCGCCCCAGAACCAAGTCGAACGCGTCGGATCCGCAGAGTACCCACGCTGGTTCTACGCCGAATCCGCGCCGACCACGCGTCGCATATCAGAAACGACCGCGATTTACATGACAGGCAGGAACAAGGAAAGGCGCCCTCTCGAGAACCGAAAACGGACGATTCACTAATCGACGCGTCACTGCTGGGGGTCCTGTCCACTCCCGAGGGACAGGCCTCCCTTCTGGTCGGCGATGGACAAACCTCCCTCTAGTAAACCACCCTTCAGTGAAAACGGCCTGGGACCGAAACCGGCGGACCTGGATCCGCAGAAATGGAGGAGGAGGAGGAGGAGGCGGAGGAGGAGGGTGAAGAGGAGGAAGAGGAGGAGGAGGACGAGGAAGAGGAGGAGGAGGCCCCCCTCGCGCGACGCCCTCTCGCGAACCGAAAACGGCCAATTCGCTAATCGGCGTGTCACTGCTGGGGGTTCTGTCCGCCCTCGCGAGGGACCCTCGGACCCCCTCCGGAGAGCTCCGGACGCGGCGGGCCCCGGACGCGGATGCCCTCCTGCTCTCCCTCTCCCCCCCCTCCTGCAGCGGGGGTGCGTTGGAGGCGGAGACCCAGTGGAGGGAGAAGAAAGAGCGTCGATGCTCGAGGATCGCCCTTTTCCCCAATCAGTGCTTGCGCTGAAGGGGTCCTAGCCGAAGCTGAAAGATTTGGCGGAAGTTCCCCGGCGATTTTGGTAGCAGGCTGGGTTCCCAAATTCCCGGTTGCGGGTTCACGGGTTCCCGGTTACTTGCTCCGGGCCGATTTCGGCGGGTTCTGGGTTCCCGGGCTCTCGGGTTCCTGGTCGATCTCCTCAGCGAAAACCATCCACCGATTGGGGCTTTTCTCTGGCGTATGAAGGGGACCTGGGACACACAAAGAGATACGCACAAATAGCAGGATTCCCCATATTTTCCCGTATGTTCTGGCTTTCCGTCTCCCCCCCACTTCCCATACCTGCCCATCTTTTCTGGGGGATCGACGGTGAATTGTGTCCGTGTGATTTCCCCTCCTGAGTTTCTTTGGTGTAATCGAACCTCCCAGGGCGACCTCGCGGCTGCGCGCCCAGTGGACGCGACAGCGCCAGTGACGGGGCCCCGCCCCCCTGCCCGTCCCCCCGCCCCAGGTCGCGTCGCGCGCCGCGCCCGCGTCGTCTGGGAGTTAGCCTCAAGTCGGGCCTGTTCCCCTACAGGAGGATTTTGAACGAAAAATAAAAATTAGTCAAGAAATACCATAAGATATTTTGAAAAAGTGTCAGAAAATCGTCCCCAGGCTACCTTTTTGACTATCTTTGAACATTCCTCCTGTAGGGGCAGGCCCGACTGAAAGTTAGCCATCCCCAAGCACTGGCCATCGCTCGGACGTCCATTCCCTGTGTCTTTTTTGGCTTCGTGCGTGGTTGTTCCCCAGGATGATGCAGGATGCTCCTGAATCATCCCCGCCGAGACAGAAAGTGCACACGCCCGAGCGACCCCGAGAGCATCCCAAGCCGGCGCCGGCACGAAGTGTAAGGTGCTCCCTCCCCCCCCCCCCCCCTCCCTCCCCCTCCCCAGGGCCTCCTCCCTCCCTCTCCCCCCCCCCCCCCCCCTCCCCCACTCCTCCCTCCCTCCCCCCCCCTTCCCCCCCCCCCCCAGCTCCCCCCCTCCCCTCCCTCCTCCCGCCCTCCCTCCCTCCCCCCCCCCTCCCCCACCCCCTCCCCCTCCCCCCCCCTCTCTCCCCCCCCCCCTCCACCTCCCCCCTCCCCCTCCCTCCTCCCTTCCCGCCCCCTCCCCTCCCTTCCCTTCCCCCACGCCCCCCCCCCCCCCAGGGCCACTCCCGTCACCGCCAGGGGATCTTCAAAAAACGGCTTCCGCGCCGAGCCCCCTGGGGCGCCGTGGGGCGCGGAGTGCCCGGGGGGGGGGCGCCGGAGGAGGCGCCACGTCAGGGCGTGGAGGCCTCCCCGGAGCAGGGGGTCTGCTGAGACCAGCTGGGGCTGCTCGGGGGGGGGCCTGCTGGGGACGGCAAGGGCTACTGCGGGATGACGATTCATTAAAAAAGGGGAGAGAACGATTAAAAACATAGTTTTCCGCTATTTCTGCACAGCTTTCTGACTGGAGGAGAACGATTAAAATAATAGTTTTCCAGCCCGCGGCCGCCGCCGCGCCCGTCACCCGAAGGACGATTAAAATTAATCGTCATCCCGGGCGCCGCCGCGTGAACACGACCCCAGGTCATCTATTAAGCGTCATCCTCCATTACCGAAGGGGGCCGTCCGCGCGCAGCCCGAAGCTGTGCCATCCGATGACCTGCGGCGTCGTGGCTCGATGTGCTCCACCCGCTGGCCTCGGACCTCTCGTCGGGGGGGCGGGCCTGTGGGATACCTCAGTGGGGGTGAAGGTATGAAGGCGCCCTGGGACACACAAACAAATACGCACAAATAACAGGATTCCCAATATTTCCCCGTATTTTCTAAGTTTTTGTCTCCCCCCCACACTTCCCATATCTTCCCATCTTCTCTGGGGAATCGACGATTGATGGTGTCCGTGTTTTTTCCCTCCTGAATGCGGGATGCCTCAGAGGAGGTGAAGATATCAGGGAGCACGGACCCGGGAGGGCCCGGGCCCTTCTTGACCCCCGCTGGCTCCAGAAAGGAGCCCTCCTCGAAGGCCCTCGCCGAGAGACGTGCACACGTCCGAGCGATGGCAAGCGACCTGCGACGTCGTGACTCGAAGTGTTTACCAGCCTCGAACGTATCCCTATCCCTAAGATTGACACGCCAAAAGGCGATGACAATCTGAGGGATTCGCCCTCATAAAAGAAGGGAATCCCCAAGACTGGCATCGTGATGAGGAGGTGCCCAGCATAGGGAAAGGAATGTGTTCCAGGCTGGTAAAAGTGTGTCCGCCTGACCACCTACCAGACCACCCCAACCCAACCCGAAGGCCCGAACTTCGGGTGGGGGGGGGTAAGTGCAAACTGAGGCCTATTCGGGTTGGGCTGGGGTGGTTTGGTGGGTGGCGACGCTGCGCCCGGCGCGGAACACCCGAGCTGCTCGCGACCGCAGCGCTGCGGCCCACCTCCGAGGCGGGTGCCCGGAGTGCCGGCAGGCATTCGCACGCGGTCCGCCCATACTCGGGAGCGGCCCAGAGGGGGGTGTCTAAGAGGGGGATGGGGGCGCAAATCATGACCGGCGGCACGTGCGCGGCCCAGCGGGGGGCCAGGGACGCAATGGAACAAGAAGAGGCGCCACGAGATCAGGGGAAACATCATGGCCCACGCCATGACCTCCCCCCCCCCCCTAGTCACCCCCCCCCTCTTTGCCGCCCCCAACACACGGCACCCGAGAAAAGCGGCGGACCTGCCCACTCCACCCGCCAGCCTCAGACCTCTCGGCCCCCTTCCCCCGGGGGCTTGGCCTCTGCCGCGGCAGCGCAGGCCGCCTCTCCCGATGGCCGCCGGAGCGGGAGGGGGGAGCAGCAGGACTGCCTCCAGCCCAAGCCGACGAGCACGCTCCCAGGAGCGGGGGCGGACGACGACGACGACGACGACGACGACGACGACGACGACGACGACGACGACGACGACGACGACCACGACCACGACCACGACCACGACCACGACCACGACGACGGCGGCGGCAGCGGCGGCACCGCGGCGGCGTCAATGTCGGCGGCGCGCGGCGCGGAGAGGGGGGGGGCGCACGGCTCCTCCCCCTTCGGGTCGCTCCAGGAGTTGGCGCCCCAGAACCAGACCTGGTACTCCTGCTCGCGCGCGCAGGCGCGCAGGCGCAGGCGCCTCCCTCGAAGGCCGCCACGCTGTCGAGGAGAGCCGAGGGGAAGTCTGAGCAGGGCTCTGGCAGCCGCAGCCAACGCACGTCAACAGGACGCGTAGAAGGGGGTGCCAGATCATTGGGCGAAGAGGTTGCGTAGTCTTTGTAGGCTGGCGAAGAGAGACACAAAAGCCGACCAATTGTATGCTGCATCTTCGGAACACGTCGCTTGTCCCATCGCGCCGCGATCCGCGTCGAATGCAGGTCGCACGTCGACTCCGCATCGAATCGACGTCCAACACACGTGTAAGCCACATCGAATCCGCGTCGAACTCGCGTCGGAGACAGGACAGGAAAGGGCCGCCTGTAGGACCGACAAGGTTGCTAGGAATCTGCAACGCAAGGATCGGCGCCGACAGGTCGCGTTGGAGGGAGGCCGTGCGCCACCCGCCCTCGGGTGCGCCGAACAGGGGCGGCCCGGACACAGGGCTCGAGCTGAACAGTGCGTGCTGTTTTCGCGCTTTGCTCGTCTCCCCTCGTTCCGTTTTCCTTCTGCCCCTGCGGCAAAACAAACTCCACACGCACACGGCCCACGAAATCACCAGCACGCCGCTCGGCGCGCGCCCCGCCAGGCAGAGGGGGAGGATGTGAACCGTGGCCCGAAGCATGTGCGCGGACGAGGCTCCTCCTCCTCCTCCTCCTATTCCTCCTCCTCCTCCTCCTCCCCCACCTCTTCCTCCTCCTCTTCGTCCTCCTCCTTCTCCCCACGGAGAAGGGTTCCTGCTGGGGTTCCTGCTTTCCCAGAACACCCTCTCATTCTCCTTCTACTCCCTCTTCCCCCCTACCTCCTCCCTCCTCCTCCCTCCTCCTCCTCCTCCCCTCCTCCTCCTCCTCCTCCACCCTCCTCCTCCTCCTCCTCCTCCTCCTCCTCCTCCTCCTCCTCCTCCTCCTCCTCCTCTTCCTCCTCCTCCTCCTCCTTTTCCTCCTCCTCCTCCCTCTCCTCTTCCTCCTCCTCCTCCTCCTCTCCTCCTCCTCCTCCTCCTCCTCCTCCTCCCCTTCGTCGTCCTCCTCCTCCTCCTCCTCCTCCTTCTGCAACCTTCTGCGATGATGACAAGTTACCGCCTATACAAAGAGGGGTGCAGCAACAGGCCCGTTAAAGAGAAAGAAAGAGAGAAACGAATTGCCTCCTGCAGTGCTCACGGCGGCTGCGATGAATATGACAGCGGCGGCGTCTCAGCCAGGAGGTAGACAGGAAAGCCCCTGCCACAGTGGGCTCCGTTCGACGGGTCCACGCCCGACTTCAAGAGCCTCAAAGAATTGGCGGCGTCCCGATTCCTGGGCCCTCCGTGGCACTCCTCCCGAAGAAATCTGGAACGCTCAGATCCGAAGGCCCCGCACCTCGAGCAGTACGCCACCCGACCTCCCCCAACCCACACGCTATGGGAGGGGTGGGAGGTGCGGGCGGGGCGGGGGAGGCCACGGCAGGGGATTATGCAAATCGACACCCTCGATTTGCCCGTGTCCCCACACCGAGAGCATGCATACGATTTGCCCACACGCATCAGTACATGGCCTCGGGGTTCTGGAACGAGTTGCAAAACCGTTGGTTTGGGTCGAACAGCACGTTTAACATTGGTCACATCGGGAAACCCATGGCAAGCCAAACCGTCCGAAATACCCGAAACGAAACGAGCTGTCTGGAGGACCCTGGCCGAAGCAACCTCGTAACGCTGCATGGCACATGGAAGAGCCGCCTGGGCTTCGGCACCGAGTCGCGCGAGTCTGCCTCGCGGTTGCCAGCCCAGGCCCGGCACGGCATGCCTCTGGATAGGGCTGCAGCCTACTTAAATGTGGCTTCGCTTTCACCATGAATAAATTTCCAAGCCCTATATCAGTGGCTATACTGAAAATGTCAACCCAAAGCTCACTGAAACAAACGTCAGACAGATCCTGGAGCGGGCTCTTGGACCAGATATCGAGAACCATTTTGCAATCAGTGGCGATGGTGGCGACAGTCGGCCCAAGACAGCGCAGGGCCACGAGCAGCGCGAAAACCTCTCCGCAGCCCGCCATCTGCAGCGGGTGAGGCAAGGGGCCGTAGAGAGCGCCCTCGATGTTGCCTCCCAAGTCGACGGCGACCCCTCTGCATCCTGCCCTCGTGGAGCTGAGCAACTCTGGGTCGACGGCCGAGCCCTCTAAGCAGACGAAGCCCGAGTCGAGGACGCCATATCTGGAGTACACACTCCCTTTAGGCTCGGCTGTGAGGTAGGGCTTCGGCCATTCCCATTCGGGGCTTGGGATGAGGCATCTTGTAGTAGCGAGGTCATCATCCCCTCCCTCACAGCCAGCCTGGATAACATTATCTAGATCAAGATCTCGTCTGAACAAGCAGCGCGCATCGCACAGGTACAAGCGATGCTTCCTGGCGCCAGGACATTGCAAGCACCACTGGCAGTACCTCGTCACAACTCTGCGATCAATGAAGAGCGTCTGCTGCGTCGGGAAACCTCCTGCCACAGCCGTTGCCAGTCTGCTTGCTGAAGAGCCTTTCCCCGGCGTGCGCAGCTCCTTCAAATGCACGATGAGCCGCGTGAGGCAAGGGCCTGCGGTTAGACCATCGATCTTCCCGAACGGCCCACCTAGGCCTTGTGCCGGGGACCTCTGGGTGCTGGAGTTGATCAGGGACCTGAAGGTTATTTTGCCGGAGTTGCGGGGATTGATCGGGACGCCGTCGTCAGTGACCCAGGAGTCCCAGGAGACGATACCCACCGCAGACGCTTCAAAGTACAGATAACCGCACCAGCAGGACCCTGCGCATACTGCCAACGAATGCTCTCGAGCCTCATGAAAGCCTCGAAACATGATCGCATGATCCTTTCAGGGGCCCAAGACTGCTGCAAAGCCAAAATCCAAAAGATAATCGGACCAGGGTTGGCCAAATACCCGGGGTCCGCCAATGGCTCGGGGCCCAGAAGGAACTCGAGGGTGCGAGACCTGCCCTTCGAAGTCCCAAGGAGTGCCTGGCCCATCTGGGCCCTGAGCTCGACCACTCTCTTGTCCGACAACCCAATAACGGGAGTACCATGCATCGCAGCTGGCAGAGCTCCGACACGAACGACTTCAGCAGCACCTCGGAATGAGCTTCGGAGCCCACGACAGCGCCGAACTCGAGGTCGAAGCTTCCGAAGCCTGGAAAGTTGGACCTTGGAGGCCCTCGTGTTCTTTTTTCAAACCGAAGTCGACCCCAAGGTTCTTGGGCGAAAAGCTAACAACAAAATCCCACCTATCTAGCTTCTTCCGAATCTCGGCGGCGACGAAGTTGTCCGACGACACGATCACCTCTTTCCCCCTCGAAACTATGAGCTGGGGCCTCTCCAACTGCGTGCACACGTGCCTGGTGGCGGAGCCTACCAGACCCCCGAGCTTGCAAGACGTGGCTGAGGCGAAGAAAGTTAGATCGTCGACAACATTGAAAATGGAGACGCTGGGCCAATGCAGCCTTGCAGCGTCGCACGGAACCAGGAGAATCAACTTCATCGAAGACGCTGCCCACAAACACCCTGCTGTAATTCCCTGTTCAACCCAAAATATATCTGAGACCATGGGCCCACTCTGCAAGAGGCGTGGGCAACGATACTGCCTGAGTAGCATTCGCAGCCTGACCGAAGGAAAATCATGTCGGACTGCGGCCATCACGCGCAAAAAGTGCACCACTTTTCCATGCGCATTGGTCAGATCCACCAGTGCTGCTGCTGATGGTATGCCTTGACCTGCCGTGAACTCCCCCGTGATGGCTTGCTCCCATGCCGCTCTCTCACAGCTTCTCCCTCTAGATCCGTAATGATACTGTCTCGCTTCTCTTTCCTCCCACCTGCCCGCCTCCTTCCTGGTCAGCTTTCCAAAGATACGAGAAAACCCTGGAAGAAGACCAATTGGACGAAATCCAGAATCAGGCCGAGGAAGAAGGACGATGAGGTTGAGGGCGATGGCCGATGGTATGTGTCCTATAATCTCTGCCCAGCTGAAAAGACAGCCCAAAGTAGTGAGGGCCTCATCGCAGGCTAGCCCAACGTCTCTGGGATGGACCATATCTGCGCTGAGACCAGCGCGGCGCTTAAACTTCTGCGAAGCCTTGCGGATCTCCTCCCCGGTCCTAACAGCTGGGAAAACCTCTCGGCCATCAAGAACCTGCTTCTGGATATGATGCTCAAGTTCCCCGAAGGGGTCGGGGTACTGGGTAGCTTCCTGGGTTGGTTTCCAGATGCCCTTCCAGAGCTCGGTATGCGCCTGCATAACCCCTCCAGGTCCAGGTGGGGCCCTGCCGTTGACCAGAGACATGCTGGGGGCCCAGGCCATCGGAGTCCTGGTGTACTGGCGGGCCCGTCCAGCCCCAGCCTTGACAGATTCAGCAACCCAACTGCGCCACTGGGCCCCGCGGTGAGAGCTGAAACGCGTTTCAAGATTTGCGGCCCAGCGCCCTGCTGCAACGAAGCGATCATGTAGCGCAGCAGCGGGGACAGATAGTAGATCCCCTCGGACTGTCGGCTGCCAGCTTAACCAGTCTGGAGACTTGCGCAGGGCGCCTGGGCCATCCAAGATGCGGTCGACCAACCTGGTAGTCTCAGCTCCACCCCAAGTTGCCGAACGCATCTTGGTGTGGTGCAGCTCCTGGAACCAGATCGAAACCTTTTCGCCATCCTCTGCTTTCTGGGCACCCGAGCGGATAGGGCCCCCCCTGCCGCACGAAGCGAATCGACCCGCTTGAGTTTCCGCTGTTCACACCTGCCGCCGCACTTGGGCTGGTCACGGACCTGGTAGATGTCAAGCAACGCCGATTCGAAGGTGACCAAGAATCCCAAGAAAACACGACCCAGATCTTCTGAAGTGCCTCTAGCTTGGGCCCTCTCGAGGTGCTGCTGATAATCTGGAGCCTTCGGGCGCGGGCCCACAGGGATCTCCTCGGGCAAGGCCTTCGGCTTGGTGACCACCCAGTGCTTGGCCTCCAACGGGTCCCCCTTCAAAGAGAGCGCCGCTGGCCAGTGGGGGGCCGTCGTGGCCTGCTCGTTGCGCCTGCAGCTGGCAACGCATGGCCCTAGGCCCTTGGGAATCACGAAATAGTCGATGGTGCGCCATCGGCGCGCCGTTGATCGGCAGGCGGGCGTACCTGGAGCAACGATGACGCCCCCAACTTTCTGAGGCCATCCCAAATCTGCAAACACATTGGGCCCTACCTGCCAATCACCCGCCATAATGAACGGCATGCCGCGATGGTGCAGCAGCTCGTCCACGCGAGCGAGAATAAGCGCGCCTTCATCTCCTAGCGGGGAACCGTGCGGGAGGTAAATACTGCCTGCCACGAATCCGCCAGAGATAAACGCGTTCACCCAAGTGAGGCAACATCTTGGGGGACTCGGGAGGCCCTTGTGCGGGGGGAGCTTGCCCATGCCGATGTGCGCGAGAGCAGCAACCCCGACTCCCGAGCTGAGACCCCCACCCTCAGCGACGAAGGATGGGTGGAGGCAGGCATTCCAGCCTAGCTTTCTTACTGTGGCCTCCCCATCGGCCCTGCCATTGGAATCAAGACTGAGCTCCTGTTGCATCGCCGCAGACGCGTCGGTCTCCTTGTCCGAATGCCGAAGCATTGACATCCAGGAAGTAGCGCTGCAAGTTTCGCGCTTGAAAATCACCTCACCTCGGCGAGTTCCACCCGACTTAGACCCAACTTCGGCAGGCTGGAAAACCTGTGTGGGGGCAGGTTTTAATTCGGAAGACAGCTCAGAAACACTAGTATTCAGTGGCTCAGCGCGAGGCCCCCGGCGGCCACTCAAGGGCCCCATGCCCAAGACGCAGCCCCCAGGAAGCCCGCGGAGCCAACAAAAAACAAACCTATCATAAACTAAACCTAAGTCGGACCAACCAGAATCAAGAGGGGAACGGGAGCCCTTGGGCCCCTCGCCCAAGAACCAGGGCCCCGAAACCTTAGACAGATACATGGACAAGTCAACCGAGATCGAACATAAGAGCCGCCATCGCCCCACCACACGCAGCACGGCGGGGGGCAGCATATCCGCCTGTCGACCTTCTGGGGGCCTCCAGCTCCCATGCGCATGTGAAACCTTACCTGCGATAGCTCCCCCCTGGGCGCTGCTGGCGGCCAGGGGGGAATCGAGCGCTTCCTGGTGGCAGGAAAGCTCCAGAAACATCGACGTCGGTGAAACCATCGGTGCTTCCTCGGAGCGCTGCCTCTGCTCTCTGGCGCACGCCAGAGGCAGCTCGAACGCCGCCGCCGCCTCCTCCCTGGGACGCAACCGAGCCCGAGGAAACGGACAGGGGTCCAGGAGCAGAGGGTCCCTTGGACTCAGCTGGGGCGGCAGCGGCCTGGGGCGCGGGCGAACTGTCGGCACCTGGCACTGAGCCAGCGCCTCCAGCTTCGCCCGCGCATGCTGGCTGCGAGGCCTCAGGTGCAGGGCGCTCACCAGGCCCCGCAGGTTGTTCAGCTGGTGCGTCGACCCGCTGCCGCTTCCGCTGTAGTCGTCCCAAGTGCTCCTGATGCTCAGCCCGAATGCGGTTGATATCCTCCAGCGCCTTCTGGAACAGCTCCTTAGTGATGCCTTGCACCTGAGCGTTGAGCGCCACTTTGCGACGTTCGAGCTGAGCTGCGTCTTCTGGTGTGAGTTCGTAGTCGCTGACGTCCTTGAAAAAGCTGTCGATGTCGAACAGGTCAGTCGCCGCTGCCGTGCCGTCGACCACTTTGTCGACAGAAATCTTGACAGGGGCTGCTGCTTCCTTCTCCGAGTGAAACCACCAGCAGCACGGGCGATCTCCGCGACCAGCTTGCGGTACTCCTCATCCGAATCATTGAGAGCCAACTTGGCTTCTCGTACACCCTTTCGCTGCTGTTCAGCTTGTTTCTCCAGGCGCTCCAGCTTGTCGAGCTCTTCTGGGAGTGTAGCTTCCAACCTTTGAATGCGTGCATGAACCCTCGAAGCTCGCTCTTGTGCTGGAGGTGCCATCTATTCAGACTGCACATGCTGGAGTTGCATACGATATTTAGCAGGTCCATCATCATCTCCTGTTTTCTCCAAGACACCGATGAGCTGCTGCAACTCCTGAGCACTGACAGTTGGCGCACGTCGATCTCCTTCGAAGCTGACTTGCCGTACGCGGGCACCACGGCCCCTACTCTGCTCCCTTCCTGCTGCAGCAGCGGGATCTCCAGCCGCAGGTGGCGTGGCTGATCGCTACCTGAGAATACTAGCAGGAGGAGAAGGAGGGCCATCACAAAGTGCCAACTGCTTGATATTAGTGGCTGCCTCAGTGCGCGTTTGATGACAGTGCTTACACCTCTCCATGCTAAACGTGTTCTTACCTCAGCCGCATAGTCCACATTTCCACTTGGGTTCTGGCACAGAGGGCAACTGAGGTTCAGCTCCCCAAAAGTCCCAATCCCAGTCATCAGACCACGGCTGTGGTTTGCTCTTGTGTTTGCTGCCTTTGCCTCGTCCAGGTGATTGCTGCGACGTTCGCCACGGCGCCGCTGCATGCTCACTGGGACGCCATAGTGTGTAGCGGGGAGCGCCCGAAATACCTGCAGCTCGTGCCGAGGCTCGTCAGCAGCCATCTCGCCAACCCATGGAATCCAAACCTCCCTGCGACGAGTAATGCGCTCCCAACAACTCTGCTGCCTTACCGATTCTGACAAGAGTTTTGGCCCACGACCTTTTGCGCCTGGCTGCAGTGTGCCAGGTCTCCTCGGAAGGGGCCCTTCCCGCTCGTAGCAACAAAAGGAGGGACGCGCAGAGAAACCTGCGCGGCAAATGTGCTCGCCTGAGGTTAGACCTGTAAGGGCAGAAGGGTACTATCTCGGATATGCCCTCGCGCGCGTGCTCAGGCCAAAACCATTCCACCTCCTCCTCCTCCTCCTCCTCCTCCTCCTCCTCCTCCTCCTCCTCCTCCCCCTCCTCTCCCTCCTCCCCGGGGAGAGGGGGCGGGAGGACAGGGGGCTCGCCGCACGATGGCTACCGATACCTGGGAGTTCTCGTGCCCCTTGGCCGCGAGATCCGTACCCCCGTCGGCGCTCTCCTTGTGCCCCCCCCCGGGACTTCGGTCGGGCACGGCCTCCTACAGGCGGGTGCTGGACGAAAAATTGGAGATGGTCCAGACGTGTTCAAAAACGGTGTTCCAGCGTGGTCAAAACATCGTCCGAAAGCCAGATTCTGGATGCTTTGGAATGTTCCTCCTCTAGAGGGACACGCCCGACCTGACCCTGAACACCGCCAGCCCCTTCCAGGCCCAGCATCACCTCCCGGCATGGGTCGAAAGCTGTGCGAAGGGCTGCTAAAACCGTGGCTGCTTTACGGCCCTCCCGAAGGGAAAAAACGACTTCCCGGAATGAGGCGCGGCACGCGACACAGTCAACGGGCCTCTTCCCGGACGGACGGAGACAGCTACCCAGAGGGCGATCTTAGCAGCCACGGATTGAGCAGCCCTTGCCCGGCTTCCGAATTGACGACCTAATTACCAGACCACCCCAACCCAACCCGAAGACCCGAATTTCGGGTTGGGGGGGTAAGGGTTCCACATGTGTCTTCTCGATGTTTCCCGACCCCCCCCATTGGACATCGAGGGTAAATTTGAGCCTTCGGGTTGGGTTGGGGTGGTTTGGTGGGCGGTGACGAATGCGGCCACAGGCGCAGAGGAGAGACCAACGGCCAACGTATGCCTTCTCCGAGGCCCCCGTGCGGCGTGCTCGGAGGTCGGCGATGCCCCACCCCCCATCGCCCTGGCGCCGGGGGCGACGCCGGGCGGCCTGTGCGCCGAGGCGGAGAGATCCGCACGGTCCTCCCAGAACTCGTAGTCTATGCTTACGTTGTGCCCATCCTGCTGAAGCACCACACCCCAGCAATGATTTCGAGCACCCGGAGGAGTGTCAAAAGAGTGTCGAAAGAGTGTCGAAACCGTGTCGGACGAGTGTCTCCCAGGGCCCGACGTGTGAAAACCCTCGAGTTTCGGATGTTTTTTGGGGAGGCTCGAAATTCTTTCTCGTGATCAAGGCTACAGTAGGCTGGAACATCACAAGTCGATGCACGTGCTTGCATTCGAAGGGGTGCCGGGCCCAGATGCCTTTCCCAGGGGGTCCGAGCAGATGGGGTCGGAGGATGCAGCAGCATCGCCGATGCATCGTCGATGCGTCCGCGATGCATCGGCAACGTTGGTGAGGGAGCGGCGATGTCCGCGTGAAACAGGTGGGGCTCCACATCGAGCCGCATCACAGATGCATCGGCGGTGCGGCGCTATACTCCGACCCAATATACGCACTCCGACCCCGTCTAGAAGCAAAGAGAGGGAAGAGCTGTGGTTATGCCCCCCTTGTCCTCTCCTGCCGATGTGTGCTCACTCGGCAGGTGCTGCTACCACCTCCACGGCCTTCCGACGTGGGTGTCTGCCCTTGAGAACTCTGCACTTCTATATCACAGTGATATTTCTCGTGGGTTTACTGCACTCTTCCTTGAGAAGAACTGTGCTGGTGCAAGAGTGTGGGAGCGAGACTTTCCTCTCTTCCCTCCGCGCGCTCGTTTCCCTTGTTCGTTTTCCCTTCAATCAAACGTGGTTTGTGAAAACGACCTCGGGCCCAAACCTCGCGGGCGCAAGCCTTGAAAATGACGAACGCGGCCCCCTCTCGAGAACCGAAAACGACCAATTCTCTCCGGGTGCACCCCACCGCTTGCGGACCGGCGCCTGGCTGTCTTGGACCACTTAGTGCCCGCGGGCTTCAGGGCAAAGAGAGGTGCGTGGCCGAGGGGCCTTTGTTGTTGCGGCGCCGCTGCGAGCGCGGCGCGAGGTTTCCAGCGGCGGCGTCCCAGGGGAGGTTGGGAGGAGGAGGAGGAGGGGGAGGGGGAGGAGAAGGAGGAGGAGGAGGAGGAGGAGGAGGAGGAGGAGGAGGGAGGACGGACTGGGGAAGGGGAAGAGGGGAGGAGGAGGGGGGGCGGAGGAGGAGAGGGAGACGAAGGAAGGGTGAGAGCGGAGGAGCAGCCCTCGCTGCCCCCCAATTGGATAGCCCCCCAGCACGCGACGCCCAATTCCCGCCACCCCAACCGCAGTCCGGCAGCTTGGCAGGCGAAGAGCCATCCACTATGTAGATGAGCCCGCCGTAGCCGACGTAACCGCTCAGAGCGTCCTGCGGGCCGCGTCGTTGGTCAGTTCCGCACTCCTTCTGCTGACCGCGGATCCTACTGCTCCTTCGCACATGTAGCTCGACCTTCTCCTTCGCCCACCACTTCTTGTTGCTGCGACAGATCGCCCCCCTCCCTTCCTGCTGGCTCGTCCCTTCACACTCGTCTCCTCTTGCCTCGCCACTTGCTACGCGTGGGACGGACAGTGAGTGCTGTGCTCGCTGCGTCCTTGCCTCGCCACATTCTTGCGTTAGACAAGCGTTCGCTCGCTTGAGCCGTCGCGTCCTTTGCCTCGCCACTCTTCATCCTCCTCATCCTCCTCCTCCTTCTCATCTTCCCCCCTCCTCCTCTTCTGCTGCTCGCCATCCTCCCTCGGGTTGGTTAGACGACCGTGAACGCAGTCGGCCCCTTTCTGGGCCTTCGGAAGCCTCTGAGGACGTCCGCGCAGGCTTCAGGAGGCCCACAGGACTTCCTGGAACTTCCAGGAACCTCCATGGACATCCTACTGCTGTTCCACGCTCTCTCAGGCCGTCCTACGTACCTGGGGCCCTCTTTAGGCTGACACAGGCTGCCTCCGTCAGGCCGTCCACACAAGACGCGGAGTGAAGCACTGATGTCCTACTGCTCCCCCTCACCATCCATCCACGTTCTCCTCTTGCATCTCGTCGTGCTGCTCCTCCTGCGCGCTCCCGCGTGCAATTTAGGGGGCAGGACGGAAAAGGAGGAAGAGGAAGGAGGGGGCACGACTGCAGAACGGTGTCATTTACCCACCTGGGGGAACCCATCGTAATAATCGACGATCTCTCGAGAGGTCGGTGTGCGGAGAACTTGAAATTCCAAAAGACCTCATTGCACAGTGCGTTACCGCACGGCCCCAGTCACCCGAGATATACTAAGATATTGACTCGGGTTCCAAAACCATGCGCTCACCACTGGCCCACCCTCACCGCCTTGGAACTTCTCATACCACCTGTCACTCAGCTGCGGCGTTCTCTGTCGTATCGAAGATCTCTTGAGAGGGGTGCCAGAGCCGCAGGACCTCCCAAGGCAGCAGAGAGAGAGAGAGAACGACCACGGTTCCCCCAGTGACGGCCCAACTGTGATCACCGGGTGCGCCGAACAAGGGCGCCGGGATGAAGGGAGCCAGTCCATCGTGTCCCCAGGACTCCAGGGTCCCACAGGCGCGTGGTGCCAGACCGCAAAGTGACCTCGGAATCCCCAGCGACCTCGGCGCGCAGACCGTGAGGAGAAGGAGGATGAGGAGGAGGAGGAGGAGGAGGAGGAGGAGGAGGGAGGAGGAGGAGGAGGAGGAGGAGGAGGAGGGGGAGGGGCTCTGGAGCCCCCATGGAGGCCCCAGTTGTCAGAGACAACCACGGAGCCCAAAAACCGCGCCAGGACCCCGAATCCCCACCGACTCACCACGCGATGTGGCCACCCCTGCTGGGCTTGTTTGCAACCGCCACCACCAGAAGTAGGAGGGGGAGGGGGTCCTCCTCCTCCTCCTCTCTCCTCCTCCTCCTCCTCCTCCTCCTCCTCCTCCTCCCCCTCCTCCCCTCCTCCCCCCTCCCCCCTCCTCCCCCCTCCTCCTCCTCCTCCTCCTCCTCGTCGTCTTCCTCCTCCTCCACCTCCTTCCCCCCTGCAACTTATGGTGGCGGTGGTGGAAAATTGGCCATCAACTCCACCTTCTGGGGGCTCCCAGCAGAGACCCCCAGCCGCTGCGGCGGCCTCGTCTGGGATCGCGATGCCCGTCTCGCTCCTCAGGTGCACGCTGTGGACCGACCTCGGCCCCCAGCCGACTGTGAGGGGCAACGATAGGGGGGGGCACTGGCAGAAGGGGGGATGCATCGACCTGGAATCTCGGCGATGCATCGCCGATAGGTCGGCGACAGGCCTCCGAAAATGAATCCGCCCCTTCCTGGGCAGGTTGGGGCTACCAGGCCCCAATCGGCGATCAGTGGGCGATTGGCCGATGCGCCCCCCTATGCCTGTCTCGGCGGCGACGACAGGGGCGACTAGCCCAGGGCGTATTCGCCCGGGAGCCTTTTCGAAGACATAGATCATCGGCGCACCTGAATACATGTACTGCTCTCCCCTGAGCTATTCGCCCCTGTCGTCGCTTCTGACTGTCTCCCCCTATCGTTGCCCCTGAGACTGGCGAGACTGGCAGGCCCACCGACCGCCGCACCGGCAGGCTCCCCCCGCTCGATCCCGCAGGCCGCACCTGGAAGATGGCATGCCTGCGCAGGCAGAAACTTCCGGTCGTCCGCGCGGAGTTCTCGTGGGCGTCCATCACTGCTCTGCCACTGCTCGCCTTGCCCACCTTCACTGACCTCACCGCAGTAGCTGACTGCGTTGGGCTCCCCCCCTTCTTCCCTCGCTGGCGGCAAACATATCCGTATCCGCGGCCTCGCGGTCCGGGTCCCTGGGCCGCGACCCCGCAAATACGGGGCGCTTTTCGGCGGATACCCCGCGAGAAATGTATATGTGCGACTGCGTATCCGCTGCATCGCGCCCCAGATTCCAGACCGCGAGGACGCGGATACGAATACGTGGGCCGCTGGTGCAGTTCTTTGGTATGGGACGAGAGTTCGAGAACATAATCAACTGCAGATCTGGTTTACCCCGAAATTGTTTCCCCGCCGAAGCTACGAAAGATATCCAGCATGCTCCGTAGGTCTACGAACATTCCAGGCATTGCTGTTGGAAGATCTGCAGGACAATCTATTTGGGGGTGAAGCAGTCGATCCCCCCCTCGAAGAATGAGTCACGACGCCATTGGCTCAGAGTGCGGCTTGGGAATTCAGGAGTCTCTAGCGGCCCTCCTGGCGCGCTCGACGTTCGAGGTGCGAGAGCATCGAGACCCCAGGATTAAGTCGGGCCTGTCACCATACAGGGGGATTTTGGATGAAAATAAAAAAGTAATAATAAAAAAACACACTAAAATATTCAATAATGGTAAAAAATCTTCCCCTAACTATTTTTTTATTTTTTAATTTTACCCCTGTAGAGGGACAGGCCCGACAAAACCCCAGGACCGAAGACCCCGGCCTCTGGACGCTGCTGGCACCCCTGCTGGACCTGCGGCGCGGGCCTCCAGAGGCCTGCGGGGCCCTCCAGAGGACCGCCCCGATCCTGCGGCAACCATGTATCATCCTCTATCCGTATGTCGGGCGTGCCCCCCTACAGGGGGATCTTCGACGAACAAAACAAAATATTCAGCAAATGCTCCAAAATGGTCTGCAAAATACACCAAAAATAGTCCCATACGATTTCTTGACTATTTTTGAAGCTTCCTCCTGTATAGGGACGAGCCCGACTTCACTCTATCCCCTCTTGCATTGCTGCTCTGTGGATCCACCGGCATAAGACAAAGATTAGTGCTTGCCTCTGTTCGGCGGTGGACAAACCTCCCTTTAGTAAACCTCCCTTTAGTGAAAACGGCCTGGGACCGAAACCGACGGACCTGGACCCGCAAAAATGACGGCCGCGCCGCCCTCCCGAAAACCGAAAACGGACATTTCACCAATCGACGTGTCAGGGTAGGAGGTCTGTCCACCCCCGAGAGGTCGGTGTCGGCGCCGCCCGGCCGCCGTGCCGGCGCCGCCCCACTCCGAGGGCGCCCCTGGAGAGGTCTTCGGGAGAGCCACGACGAAGCCAGGACGAGGACGACCTCGGGTAGGACGAGGACGACGAAATCCGAAAACGGACAATTCACTAATCGACGCGTCAGGGTAGGTCTGTCCACCCCCGATCTGTGGCGGCGTGGGCCAGCCTTCCGATCCCGGCCCCTCCTGCCCTGTCATATGGCGGCCTGGGCCGAGCGCACTCCGGGAGAACAACCTGGCGGGGCACGCAGAGAAGGGAGGGGTCAAAAGCAGTGCTGAAGGGGCCCCAGGGCACACAAATAAATGTACACAAATAAAAATACGCCCCATATTTTCCCATATCTTCTGGGTTTCTGTCTTCCCCCCCACTTCCCATGTTTTCCCATGTTTTCTACGGAATCGACGATTAATTGTCTGTGTGCTTTTTTTACTCTTGAAATGCTGCCACGCCCGAGAATCGAGATGACAACTTGGGCTCGATCCTGGGTCCGTCTGGCGGCCGAACGACAGCGAGCTGCGCGGCATCCTCGCGGTAATCATAGAGGCCTCCCAGAGGGGGGCCCGAGCAGATGGGGTCAGAGAATCGCGCCGCATCGCCGATGCATCGCGGATGCGATGAAGACGTCGGCGAGGAATTTGCAACGTCGGCGTGAGGAAAATCTGGCTCCGCATCGAGCCGCATCGGCGATGCACTGGCAATGCGGAGCGATCCCCCGACCCCATCTACAGTGCGGGCGCGTCCGCAAGAAACCCTCGCAAGAAACCCAACTCTGAAAACCCGCGCGCAAGGTGCACCGGAGGGGAAACCCGGAGCGCCCCGAACGCAGCAGCTCCTGCAACGGCCGCGATACGTCACCGCGCAGCGCGCGGAGCGAAGAAACCCAGGATACCCTGACGAGAAGCACATGGTCTCTTGATGCGGCCCCCGCTGTTCTCGGACGCCACCCGGGAGGCCGAGAGTTCGGCGGCCGACCGACAGCGAGCTGCGCGGCGTCCTGGCGCTGACAGCGAGGCGAGGCGCCGCGAGGCGGTCCTGGTGAGTTTATCTGGTACGTTTATTGATCCTCTTCCTCCTCCCCACCTCCTCCTCCTCCTCATCCTCGTCCACCTCCTCCTCCTCCTCAACCTCGCCTTCCTCCTCCTCCTCCTCCTCGTCCTCCTCTTCCCCCTCCTCCTCATCCTCCTCCTCCTCCTCCTCCTCCTCCTCCTCCTCCTCCTCCTCCTCCTCCTCACCCCCTCCCCCCCGTCTCTCCGACACGTGGCGCGCAGAGCCCCTGGGGGGCCTCCTGGGTCGGCTTGGGAGCCTCTTGGGCCGACTTTGGGGCCGTCTTGGGCAGTCCTGGGGCCGTCTTTGGGGGCCTCCTGGGCCATCTTGCGGCGATCTTAGGGGCCACTTGTTACCAGCCTGGAACATGCTGGGCACCTCCTTTTTTCCGACGGCATGGGAGCGATGAAAGCACAGTGACTGTTGGACTGGTGGAGAACCCCACATTGGGAGCGGGGCGTCACCTCGGGCGACACCTCGGCCTCGCCCGACACAACACCCGCTCGAAAAGGAAACGGTGTATAGTCGATGCTCGCCGCTGCGGGGTATACCCGCCTCTTGCCTAACGGCTGGTGCCGACACGGTACTGCACTCGAGCGCTCGCCCGCAGACATGCGTGTCCGACAGGGGGGGAGGAGGAGGAGGGGCAACCCGAGGACCTCCCCGTCACGATGCCAATATTAGGGATTCCCTTATTGTTTGAGGGCGCATCCCTAAGATTGTCATCGCGTTTTGGCGTGTCAATCTTAGGGATAGGGATACGTTCGAGGCTGGTAACCTCCTGGGCCATCTTGCGGCGATCTTAGGGGCCACTTGGGCCGTCCTGGGGCGTCGGAACGCCGAAGAGACGCGAACTCCCAAAAACCTGCAAAACAATCCAAAAGCAATTAATGGTGTATGTTTGGGCCCTCTTGGGAGGCCTCTTGGGGCGTCTTGTGGGCGCCTTGCATCGTTTTGGAGGCCTCTTAGGCTGTCTTGGAGGCATCGTGGGCGAAGTTGGAAGTCTCTTGATCCCTCTGGAGCCGACTTGGAGGCCATCTTGGACCGTCTTTGGCTATCTTGAGGCCACTGGAGGCCTATCGGGAGGAAACTTTTGCCCGCAGGCCTGGAACTCCGCCTGCCGCCCCCCTCGAGCTCCCCCTGGTTCAATTTATCCCGACTAACGGATCGCACGCTACGCGCGCTTTCCGTCATCCGCCGCCCCCTGTGCCAACAAGAGTGCTTGGCATGCTACGGTTTTTGATGTGTTGTTTAACTCCCCCTGGGACTTCGTCCCAGCGCGCCGGCCACCCGAACAGAACCAGAAACAATCTCAGCGTCCGGAAAAAAATCCTGGAAAGCTCGACGAGACCAGCACCATTGATTTCCCATCGATGTTTGACAGATTCTGGCATTTGCTTGTGTTCGGTCGTCCGAAGGCCCAAGACGGCCCAAGAGGCCTCCAAGATCGCCCCTAGAGCGTCCGAGTGGCCTCGAAGATGGCCCCAGGACGGCCCAAGAGTCCCCCAAGATGGCCCAGAAGGGGGCCCGGAGGCGGCCCAAGAGGCCTCCATGACGGCCCCGAAGCTCCCCAAGAGGGCCTCAAGACGGTCCAGAGGGGCCACCAGGACGGCCGCGCAAGGCCCTAAGACTGCCAGAGAGACCCGAACAAGCTCTGAAAGGCCCGCAGGCGGCCCAATGAGACCCCCAAGAGGCCTCCAAGAGGCTCCCAAGAAGATCCCAGGAGACTCCAAGAATGTCCCAGGAGGCTTCCAAGAGGTCTGCTCCACCTTCTCCCCCTCCAAGCCTCTCCTTATGACTAGCTCCTCCGTGTCACAACTGGAGGCCGGTCGGAAGGGCGGGCCGGGCGTTTCGCCTGAGACTGCCTTACCATTCAAGATCTGGAGACATATCACTTTGCAGCAGTTTCACTGGTGTAGAGCGGGTGGCTGTCACAATGTGGCTCTCGCCTTAACGACGGGCACACTCGTCTTGAATATCTGCAACAATTTAACGGCTTGAGGGCGGGTGGATTTCACAATGTAGCTCTCGCTTTAGCGCCGCGCACATTCGTCGTGAACATTTGCAGCAGTTAGACAGATTCGGGGCGGTTATTTCTCAACATGTGGCTCTCGCCTTAGCGCGGCGCACATTCGTCGTGTACCTATGCAAAAAGCTTCACGGTTGAAAACATGTGGCTCTCGCCTCTTTAATCAGCTGCAACCGATTCACGGACTCTCATGGCTAACGTACCCGAAATGGAATTGATGGAGTGATTGAGGATTACCAGGGCGCGACAGTCACGTTGAGTCGAGGTGTTGAAGTCCCAGGACTGGTGTTCTGGAACGATTGAAGATCAACAAGTCGCAACAACCAGGTTGTCTCGCGGCGTTGAAGTCCCGAGAATGGCGTTTTGGCACGCGTCAGGATCTTCAAACTGTTGTCTCCAAACGGGGCACTTCCCTCAGTGGAAATGAAACATTAGTCCTTGTAAGGGCCTTCGGAGAGGCATCTTAGAGGAAGGGCGAATTCCAATATCGTTGATGAGTCCCGTCCTCCTCCTTATCGTTTCCCTCTCCTTGGGTTTGCACTGGCCCTCTTCCTCCTCCTTATCTTTTCCCCCTCCTCCTCCTCCTCCTCCTCCTCCTCCTCCTCCTCCTCCTCCTCCATATATTATTCCCGATTCCTTCTCCCCCTGGTTCTCCTCTTCCTCCCGTGCTCCCCGAAGGGTTCCAACGACGGCTGGGGGGACGCATGGTCCGACAGCTCGGCAGACCTCGTCGACCGAAACCTCCCGAGCCGAGGCCTCCCCGGGCAGCGGGCCGCGCCGCCCGAGCTCCGGGCAGCATCTCGCGCACTCGGTTGTAGAAGTTGCAAAACCTGCCGGCCCGGAGGAGGAGGAGGGGGAGGAGGAGGAGGAGGCAGCCAGGCTTTCGGCGAAAAACACATGGTGCTTCTCACACGAGCGACGAAACCAAGCTCGGCGGCAAGCCCCTGGGTTTGCCTTCTCGGGAGGCTCGGAGGTCCCCCCAGCCTTCTGAGAGGTCTGCTGAGCCTCCCCCGAGGGCACAGAACGCTTCTCAGAGGGCGCAGAGGCTTCACAGAAGTCCCGCCGCCTTCTGAGACAGCCTTCTCCTTCTCACTTCCCCCCCTCGCTCGCCGCCGATAAAGGGGTCTTACGCGAGACGACGTAACGACCTTATGCGGTGGCTTACGAGGTCCGCCAGAACGATACAGCACAGTGGAAACGAGAGCGCTCAGGCACGACCTTACGCGGGCAGCTCACGCGAGAATGTCGGCGCAGGCGACTCCGTTTTTCTGCGTCGCTCACAGGTGGAACCCAATGTCTAAGCAACACACATGTCCATGACAAAATTGAACTGTCACATTCTCACACGTGTCTCCATCACAGGTGTGGCGACCCACAAGAGGCCCCAGCCAAGCATCACATCAAAAACGCGCTAAAAACAAATCCCCGCAACCGTTCCAACCCCCACCAGTCGTCACACGTTTCTCCCGTCATGAGAACCCTCAGATGCCCCGCGAACGGTTGAGCATCGAGTGCGGCTCGTGCACCGATCTCGGCCGGCGCGCGTGGCGCCTCGCAGCCCAGATGGGCCCCCGACCCCAGCCCCCGTGGGCGCGCGGATGTGCAGTCCGTGCTCACGTGTGTTGCCAACCCTCGCGAGCTTTGCATCCCCACGGGTGGATCCTGACCAAGGCCCCGATAAGCACGCTCGCATCAAGCGGGCGCCCACATCCGTTCTAACCCACTAACCAGACGCTTCGCGCCACATCATCCAAGAACATCGGCTGCGTTCGACATGGCTCGAGCATGGGGATCGGATGCAGAATTTAGTTACCCCAAAAATTAGTTCCTCGCTGATTATTCGAAGAAAAAAAACGTCGAATGTTCGTTCTACGAACACTATACGAGCGTGTTCGTTTCATGGCTTCGGCGAGAAAAGCAAATCTTGAGGTACATCAAGTCTGTAGTCGATCCCATATTCGAATGGCTCCCTCCCTCCTCACTCCTGACTCCTTCCAATGGTCCCACCGGCTCGCCCTCCTCCTCCTCCTCCTCCTCCACCTCCACCTCCTCCTCCTCCTCCTCCTCCTCCTCCTCCTCCTCCTCCTCCTCCCTGTTACCTCCTCCTCCACCCTGGCTCCTCCTGCCCGCCTCCTCCTCCTTGTTGCCGCCCTGGTCCCCGACGGCCCGAGCAGCCCTGCTCCTCGGGAAGGAGGGAGAGGAGAAGGAGGAGGCTGAATATCCTCGAGAGGGTGGAGGGAGAGGGTCCGTAGCCATTTGGGCTCAGGACTCTTTCAGTTCACTTACTGCACTTGTCTTCATACGGCGCTGCGACCCTCCAGGTGCGCGGCTTCACCCACCGGGCCCGGCATGGTGCGCGGTGGTGGCATCCCTGTCCGGCATGGTTCGTGCGTGGCCCACGTGCGGTCCGTCTAGGAGGCGGCAGAGCTCATGGCCAAGCTCGGCGGGCAGGGGGAGATGCAGCAACTCAAGGAGATCCAGTCCGTGCTGGACGAGGCGCAGGGTTGCCTCGGCCTCGACAGGAAGGTCCAGACGGAGGACGTTCGGCGAGGCTTGGTGCAACGGGGACATAATGACCTCGCGAAGGACTTCGTGCTCTGGCGGCAGGGGCGGCGCGCGGTGGCCCATCCACCAGCCGCAAGTTTGCCGCAGAAGGTGCTGCAGGCTCTTCGCAAGCCGCTCATGGAGGGCAGCGGTGGTGGCATCTCCATGGAGTCGGCCTCCTCTGAGGACGTTGCCCTCGACGAGGAGAGCGAGCTGTTCAAGCGGGAGGCTACGGAAAGTATTGAGTCCCAGCAGATCGGTCGGAGCAAGGCCTCCAGCAAGTCGACATCGACGGGTGCCCAACCCGAGTTTTTCGGCATCGGCTCGGAGGAGGATGTCGCCCCGAATCCTAAAGTGCTGGAAGAAATCAAGGACATTCTTCTTACGCTGCGAAGAAACTTTCTCAGCCTCCTCGCCCCGAAGGTCAACCAGAGCACGATGACCATTGTTGGCGAGGTCATGGCAGGCGGGGCCTCAGAATCTGCTGGCGCAGCCAAAGACGAGCAGGCATCTGACCAGTACGACGGCCTCTCCACTGAGGAGGCCTCGGAGGTTGGAAGCTTCAACTACAACGCCGCTTCGGCCTTGGACTTGAAACCGCAGCCGCCTCCAGGAGCTGCCCCGCAGACGGGGGTGGAGCTGGAGGGTGCTCAGGAGGAGTCCGCGACGGCGAACAGCTCAACCTCAGGACCGCTATCCCAACCACCGATGATCCGTTCTCGCTCGCGGTCAAAGCCCGCCTCCAGGCCTTGCGGGTGAGTGATGCGTCCAAGAATGAGCTAGCGCACCTTTTCGCCACAAGCCTCACCAGGAGAGCCTGCGGCAAGCCGCCCTGCCCTGCCGTCAAGCATGGCGTCCCCAAGGAGGACGCCAAGTGAGGTCTGCAAGGCAGGGCCGTACAGGCCTCGGACTCCCTAAACAGCGAAGATTAGCTGCTGAAGGTCTCTGCACCTCCTTTCCCCCTCCCCAAAGCTGAATGTTGAGCAGGCTTCACCGTCATAGCTTGCAGAATTCTCGGGAAGGGGGGGAGGACGAGGGGGGCGGCTACGACGACGGACGGCGACGACGTGCCGTGGAGGCACGCGTCTCGCCCAACGCCCGTGTGGCCTGGCTGCCTGGTTGCGCGGGCAGCAGGCACCGCCAGGGCAGAAGAGGCTCGCCCACGCCAGGGATTTCGGACGCACCTATCTTCCTGTCCCCCCTCTTTCTTCCCTCCTCTCGGCCTTCCTTCTTCTCCTGGGTGCGTCCCTAGTCCCCTCCATATTTTTTGTTCATTCCTGTGCCGCGCATGGGCTTTGAACCAATTCGTTGAATCGTTGAATCACGGTGGAGGGAGAGGAGGAGGAATGAGGGAGGAGCGAGAGGAGGCCCTCGGGCCGAGAGGGCTGCGACGAGGTGCACACTCCCCTCCCGACGATAATCCCCGTCAGCACCAACCCTGCCTTCCCAACACTGCTAGGAGCGATGTCCTAGTGAGGCAATGGGCAGTGCTCATGTGGACGGTCTTCGAAGGCAAGAGGCTCCTTCGAATGGTTCAGCCACTCGAGAGACATGCTCGGGCGTTGGCGGGAGTGAGTTCAGTGGGGCCTGGCCTGGGGATGTGCACCACGGGGGCGACCCCCCCGCCCATGCCACGAACCAGAGCTTCCGCCACACAAAGCACAGCCAGCTACGGCGAACCTGGCTTAGTGATGACAGTCTATCGTGTGGGCTTCGGGGCCCAATCACCCCTCAACTGGGGTCCTGGCTATACCCGACATGCCACCACTCCCTGACTACGCCGAAAAACTCTGGAGGGCAGAGCATCGCGGTGGCAGCCTGACGACGGGTGCCAACAGTCCAGCAATTCTGGCTCCTGATCCTGGTCAGTGCCGTCCTGGGCAAAGATCGGCGTTCTGACCCCCGACCGACTTTCGCTCAAGACCAGTCCCTGGCCTCCTCCTCCTGGGGCCCGTCTGGGCGCGTGCTCTGGGCCGCTTGCAGCCATGGCGACGAGGGCCCCGACTCCCGCCCCCGAAAGGCGAGGGACAACGATAGGGCTAGGTCGGGCATGTCCTCCTACAGGCGGATCTTGGAAGAACAATGACTCATGTGGAACAACTTCTCTAACATTGTCAAGGTATCAATAATAATACAATAATCATATTAAATAATAATGATAATAATATCAACATTAATAATAATAGTAATAATACTATTATCATTAATAATGAAAATAAAAATAATAATATTATTATTAATAATAAAAGTATAAATAATAATAATGATAATAATAATAATAATAATATTAATAATAATAAAAGAAGAAGAAGAATAGTAATAATATGAATGCTAATGATAATAAGGATACTACGAATGAAAATAATAATAAACATCGCGGAAACAAGAACATGCCTCGTATAAAACCATAGTTATGCAAAAACGGAAAAACAAAGAAACGAAACCATCAAAAAACTTCCCCAGACAAATTTCTGACTACGTTTGAATACTCCTCCTGTAGAGGGACATGTCCGCCTTCATCATAGGGGGGAGCTGGCTCAGGGGGGGGACATCGACCTTCAACCAGCGACACCCCGCCGACAGCTCGGCGACAGGACCCCCAGTGGCGAGTCCGCGGGTTCGGCGGGCTTTCGGGTCCCTAACTTGGCGACGAATGGGCGACTCGAGGTCGATGCGTGCCCCCCGGAGCCTGTCCTAAGAGAGCCTGTGTTTCGTTGGATCCAGGCAAGTTTCCTTCCATGGCGTTACCTGACCACCCCCCTCGCCCCTCTTCAATCGAATACGATACGGGACGGGACAATGACCACAGCCACTGCTTCTCTTCTGTTGCCGCCTTCCAGCCAGCAGAAGCAAAGCAGTGGTTGTGGTCATTTTCAGTAAACTTGGCACCAGGCAAATGACCACAACCACTGCTTCATTTTCGGCCAGCTGGAAGGCGGCGCAAACAAGAAGCAGTGGTTGTGGTCATTTTGCCGTCCCGCATGCGAGCGTGCAAGTGCCTTTCGACTTGCGTGATTTCCGCATATCAAGTTGTTTTCGGCTTGCTTCAGGCTCAGCCCCCCCCCGTCTATGCAAGTGTAAACTTGCCTGGATCCAAAGAAATACAATATTAGACGAAGCCAGGACGAAGATAACATCGGGCGAGGATGCATCAAGAATCTCCGAGCTCCGGCGGCTCTGCAGGTTGCCTCGGGCGCCGCGGCCTGCTCAAAGCGATCCAGAACGCTCTGAGAGCGTTCCGGATCGCTCTGGAACGGATCTGTCCTCGTCCTAGCCCCGTCCGGTGACCCCCCATATCGTCGCCCCTGAAAAGGTCGCTCCGGAAACGGCTTAGGTCGGGCATGTCCTCTTACAGGCGGATTTGTTGAGGAAAAAACAATAGCTACAAGAGCACGCCACACCAGACTTCCTTTTACAACTCTTGAGTACTCGGCTGTGGACAAACCTCCCGTTAGTAAACCACCCTTTAGTGGAAACGGCCTGGGGCCGAAACCGACGGACCTGGACCCGCAAAAATGACGGCCACGACGCCCACTCGCGAACCGAAAACGGCAAATTCCTTCATCGACGTGTCAGGGTAGGAGGTCTATCCACCTCCGAGAGTACTCCTCCTGTGAAGGGACGGGCCCGACGTAAGGCCCGCACGACGCGGAGGGATGGAAAAGGCCAGCGCCCTCGGGCAGCGAGGCGAGCGGCGCCGAGGTGCTCGGAGCGCTCCCGGGCGGGGCGGGCTCAAGGGACCCCTGTCGGAGGTGCGTGGCCGATTGAGGGTCGATGCATTCCTTAAGAGGCATCTACTAGGAGGTTTTCGTCGGAAAGACTAAGGAGGATTAAGCCCCATTTGGGAGCTATTACGCCGGAGTGGGCCTCGGACTAAGCAGGATTAAGCCGGATGAAGGGGGATTAAGGGGCAGCAAGCCGGATTAACCGGGATTCAGCCGGATTAAGCCATATTTCGGACCAGGGCGAAAACAGAATTTGACCTCCCAGGAGTTGCATCCGAACCTATCGCAGGAACTCGACCACAAGGAAGCCTTCCACACGAAGCCCAACCCTGAGAGATCCCTGGGCGTCCACTACTGTGCGGTATGGGAGCGTCCCGCGTTCCGTCGCAAGTCTGCCGACAATCCAAGAAACCCAGGGCACCCTTTTGAGCAGGGACCAGCCGTCCCGGCATTCCTACAGTCCTACCACGAAATTTTCGTAGATCCCCAAAATGTTCTAAGAACCAAAACAATGTTCTTACAGCATAAACCAGATGTGACAAAACAAGACATAATCCAACCAGACATGCTCCAAGAACTTTCGTGGGAACCACGAGAGGTTCTTAGAACACAGTTTGGTAGGTCTATAGGCGAGCCAGGACGCTTCGTCACTGCTTGAAATCGGGAGCGGCCAAGAGGGGGGTGTCCAAGAGGGGGGGGGTGCAAATCATGACCGGCGGCATGTGCGCGGCCCAACGGGGGGGCCAGGGACGTAATGAAATAAGAAGAGGCGCCATGAAATCTGGGGAAACATCATGGCCCACGCCATGATATCCTCCCCCCCCTAGTCATCACCCCCCTCTTTGCCGCCCCCGATGACAGGGAGGGGGAATGCCGACCCGGAATTGGCCACACCCCTCGCCGGCAGATCGGCGATATTAGGCCGCCCGACGGCGAAGCCGCCCTTCGGGCTGTGCCACCGGGCCCCCCCGCGGGCGATCGCTGGACGAGGGCCGACGCATTCAAAGGGGCCCTGGGACACACAAATAAGTACACACAAATAACAGGATTCTGCAAACAAGCTAGGAGGAGGAGGAGCATGAGAAGGAGCAGGAGCAGGAGGAGGAGCGGAAGAGGAGGAGGATGAAGGCGGGAGGAGGAGGAGGAGGAGGAAGAGGAGGAGGAGGGCGGGAGGATGAGGAGGATGAGGAGGAGGAGGAGGAGAACGGGAGGAGGAGGAGGAGGAGTTGGAGTTGGAGGACGCTTCGCCACTGCTGGACCCTTGAGGCAAGCAGGGTGCATCCTGGCACGGGCTCCCACTGCGCCGCTGCCCCGGAAGAGACTGGCACGGCGCGGAGAGGGGGGCCCTGGGACACACAAAGAAACACACACAAATAAACCAGATTCCCAATATTTTCTTATATTTCCTGGGTTTCTGTCTCCCCCCCCACTGCCAATATTTTCCAATCTTTTCTGGGGAATCGACGATTCATTGTGTCTGTGTGCTTCCTTCCCTCCTGAGTGGAGAAGGGGGCGCAAGGCCAGCGCCCGCCGACGGCGAGGAAGGCGGCGCCGGGGCGCTCCGCGGGGAGGTGCGGCGCGGGGCGGCGCGGGCGCGCATCTTCTTGATCGCCACGGACGGGCCGTCCTGCGCTCTCGCGGGGCGCCCCCGCCCCGGATCGGGGAGACGTAAGGCTCGGGTTGCGGGGGACTCGGGTTGGCCTGACGGGGCCACCATAAAAATGTGACGAGACCCAATCTGAAGCTCGACGCGAGCTCCCGCTGCAGACATCCCACGAACACCAAACCGTCAAAATCCAGGACGCGCTCGTCAAAAAACTTCGGCAAACCCGAAATCCGGCTCAATCGAGTTTTACGTTTCCCCGACCGGAGCGGGGCCACCCCGCGCCGCGACCACGACCGGCCAGGACCCCCTCCTCTGATCGACGGCGGCATGCGAGCCCTACCCCAGCTCGAGTGCGATAGAAAGCGTGTGCAGTCACGAGCTGCACTTGCAACGATGCTCGACTCAAGTGTGATGAGACAAAAACTCGAGTGTGATGGACAAATTGTGCCATCACGAGCTGCACGTTTTTTTATCACACTCACACTTGAAATGCTGTAACGCGCTTGAATTGTTATCACACTTGAGCCGAGCATCGTTGCCACTGCAGCTCGTGATTACACATGATTTGCGACAGTTGCTGCTGGTGTGCGGGTATGTACGAACGCACCTCTGCGCGAGGGTGGTTCGAACAGTAACGAGCGAGGTTCAAATTGAATCTGGAAGCCACAAGACACGTCCTAGAGCCAGCCGGCAAACCTTGCGCAATCACAGATTGAGAGCTCTCTGGTTGTAATCCGTGCCCGCTGGTCGGTGGCGACATCCGACCCCTGACCCCACCAATCATCGGTTCTCCTGCACCGATGGTTGGAGGGCGGAAAGATACCGATACGGGTTGTCCCCAGACCTCTCTTGGGGTGCGTTCTGACCAGAACTTCGAGGCGAATCCAACGGTGACGACGAGGATTCCCCAGGAGGACCAGGCAAGGCCGAAAACGAAGGGGGACAACACGTATCCGTATCTTTTGCCCCCCCGAGATGGGAGGCGGGGGTGGGGCCCGGACTTCGCCGCGTGCCCGACGAGTGCCGAGCCCTGCCCCCGCCGCCCCTCGAGCTGCCATTAGTCGTGGTAAGGGGAGGGCAGGGCTCGGCTCTCGCCGCCGACCCGCAGGGGCGCCCTCGTCGCCCTCCTCCTCCTCCTCCTCCTCCCTCCTCCTCCTCCCTCCTCCCTCCTCCTCCTCCTCCTCCTCCTCCTCCTCCTCCTCCTCCTGGTCCTCCTCCCCCTCCTCCTCCTCCTCCTCCTCCTCCTCCTCCTCCTCCTCCTCCCCCTCCCCCTCATCCTCCTCCTCCTCCCCCCCGGCGCCCCCACGCGCCCCAGGACCCCAGGAGAAGCCGCAGGTAGTTTTCTGAGGCCCGGGTGGGGTTCGGACCTCGCCGCCGAGCTGGTCCACCACGTCGCCTGCCCAGGCCTCGGGGCGTCCTGAACAAAGACCACGACGGCCGGCTTCTTTCACCCTGAACCTCTCGCAGGCCGGGTCGTGCCCCGCGGCCACCAAAGGGCGACCCGATAAGACGAAGACATCGCACAAAGCCAAACACAAAAGACGAGAGGGGGAGATGGGGAGGGAGGGACGGAGGAGCAGCGAGGCGACTAGCGAGCAGGAACGGGAAAGAAGAGGCCCTCCCGTCCAGAGTCCCCGCCCCCACCCCTGCAGAAATTCGCCAGCCCAAAGGGCCAAAAACGTGCGCGGGGCGGTCCCTGTCACGGATGCCCGAACTCACTCGCGGAGCCCAAGAGAGCTCCAAATCGGCCCAAGAGAAGCCTCAGAGGCCGTCCACATGGTCCAGGAGAGACCCCAGACGCCGAAACAACACTCCAAGACGCCCGCGATGGCCTCCAGACGGCCCAAGAGGCCTCAAGACGCCCCAAGAGGTCCCCTAGAGACGTCCCAAGACGGCCCCAAGAAGGACAAATCATCCCATTCCCTAAGGACGACGTCTATGTTTGGTAGACTCGCCACTTGGGCTTTCGCAGCGTGACCCAAGAGGCCCCCAAGATCGCCCTGACACGGCCCAAAAAGGCACCAAAAAGGGCCCCTAAAAACCGTTCCAGAAGGCCCCACGACGACCCTGAAGACCTCCAAGACGGTCCAAGAGGCCCCCAAAACGGCTCCAAGAGGGGGTCCAGACGAGGGGCCCGAACGGATATGTCGAGCCCTCGGCCCTCCAGAGGCCCCCAAATGGCCCCAGGAGGCCCCAGGAGGCATTTTTTTACACCCCTCCCCACCGCGTAGTTGTCCTGCCGAGTGGGGCAGACAGCGCCCAGGGGCTCCCCAGAGGCCCCCAAAAGGCCCCAAACCAGGAACGCCAGAGCATCTCACGCGAACTCCCCGAACTCCTTCTCCAGCTCCTCGATGGAAGCCAAGGCCTCGTCGAGCTCCTTCTGAAGGGCCAGCCGCTCCGAGCGCGCGCGGATGCGCTGCCAGAGCCCGCCGCCCTGGTACACGTGCGCCCGCCGCCGCCACCGCGCAACCCAGCGCCGCATACGCCTCGAGCCAGCCCCTCCCAGCCAGGCCTAGGCCTCTGCCGCGGGGGGGGGCCGTCGAGGCCCCGTCGCGCCGCTCCTGGGGCACCTCGTCCTCTCCGCCCCCGCGCAGCAGGGCCGAAGGAAAATCTTCCAGGTAGGTCGCAACTGCGGCACCTCGGGCAGACGTGCGGGGAGCTGCAGTGCACGTCGTGCTGCTCGCCGCCCTCCCCTCGTCCTCCTCGATGCCCTCGCCGAGACCCCCCCGTACGTCGTCACGTTCTGCGTCGCCTGTAACCGCCACGGCAGTGCCCAGAGGCCCCCAAGAGGAGGCCCCCAAGAGGCCCCAAGAGGCTCCCTTTATCAGGCCCCCGAGAGGCCCGAGAAGGACACAACAATACCGCCAAAAGGCCCACGAAAGGCCTCCCCAAAAAAGACAGGAAGCACACAAAGAGGCGGCTTGTCCACCACCAAGCTTGGCCCCAAAATGGCCCAAGAAGCCATCGGGGCGCCTCGCCCTCGTCCTTATCCTCCTCTCTTCCTCCTCCTCCTCCTCTCTTCCTCCTCCTCCTCCTCCTCCTCCTCCTCCTCCTCCTCCTCCCCCTCCTCCTCCTTCTCCTTCTCGCCACGAGCACACCGACAGAGAGCACCTATCGTACAGCATGAGTCGCTGGATGTCGCTCCAAGATGCCAACATATAGCACCAGCCGTACAATGCGAGTCGCCGGATGTCGCTCCAAGATGCCCAAGATGGCGTCTTGACGGCCTCAAACGCACCCAAGATGTTCAAAGATGTCATCAAACCACTCCCAATAACCCGCCAAGGGGCAACAATTATGAATTTCCCGAGCTTCGTTTACAGCTTTCCGCGGCAGCTGCTTCACCTGAGACGCTCACCACGCCCCGCCTCTGGAAAATGCCAGCCACCCAGCGGAACAACATTGACAACAACACCCAGATGGACGACATCGGCGAGACAATGTGGGCCGGCGGAATGAGCGAAGCGATTACACAATGTGCGTCCACAGGGCGCTGGCCGACGACGACGACGACGACGACGGCGACAACCACGGCCGCCCGCGTCCTCGAAGCCACCGTGCTTCGGGAGCCTGGCCTTCAGCCACGCCGGCGGGCCCTTCCTGCCCTCGTACTTCATGTAGATCTTGAAGCGCTTCTCCTCCCCCCAGGGGGGTGGCTCTCTCCATATGGAGCAGGGACCGACCGTCCCGGCATTCCTATAGTCCTACCACGAAATGTTCTTAGAACCAAAAAATGTTCAAAATAACAAAAACAATTTTCTTAGAACATAAACCCGATGTGCTAACACAAGACGGACTCCGCCAGAAATGTCCCAAGAACATTTCGTGGAAACCACAAAAGGTTTTTAGAACATTGTCGGGAGCGGCCAAGAGGGGGGTGTCCAAGAGGGGGGGGTGCAAATCATGACCGGCGGCATGTGCGCGGCCCAGCGGGGGGGCCAGGGACGTAATGAAAGAAGAAGAGGCGCCATGAGATCTGGGGAGATATCATGGCCCCCGCCACGATATCCACCCCCCCCTAGTCATCACCCCCCTCTTTTCCGCCCCCGATTTTAGAACATTGCTTGGTAGAGCCATAGGCGAGCCGGGACGCTTCGCCACTGCTTGACCACAGCGAGAGCGGGCGGACCCCTCCTCCCGCCGAGGAGGAGGAGGAGGAGGAGGAGGAGGAGGAGGAGGGGGAGGAGGAGGAGGAGGAGGAGGAGGAGGGGGAGAAGGGCGGAGGAGGAGAAGGAGGAGGAGGAGGAGGAGGAGGAGGAGGAGGGCGGACCCCTCCTCCCGCCGACGCGGCGGCGGCCGGGCCCGCGGGCCGTGGGGGCCCCGCCTCGCCCCGTGACGGGCCTCCGGGAGGGTCCGGCGACGGCGCGGCGGGCCTCCAGAAGGGCAGAAGACTGCCCAAGACTTGGGCGTGGCGCAATGGGGGGGTCACCAGCGGGGGGCTATAGGCGAGCCGGGACGCTTCGCCACTGCTTGACCACAGCGAGAGCGGGCGGACCCCTCCTCCCGCCGACGCCGCGGCGGCCCGGCCAGCGGGCCGTGGGGGCCCCGTCTCGCCCCGACGGGCCTCCGGGAGGGTCCGGCGACGGCGCGGCGAGCCTCCAGAAGGGCAGAAGACTGCCCAAGACTTGGGCGTGGCGCAATGGGGGGGGTCACCAACGGTAGAGGAAAGAGAACTATGCACATACACCGATTCTGGCCAGGCCCAATCATGAGCCCAGGATCGGTGCATACGCCCTCCTACCTTGGCCAGGAAGGCATATGCACCGATCCTGGGCTCAGGATGGGCCTTGCCAGGATCGGTGCATGTGCATAGTTCTCTTCGCCCGAAACGGGGGGGTCAGAAAAGGTCCCCCTTCGTGCCCCCTTTCGGGCCCCGCCAGAGCCCCATGGGGGCTCGTTCAGGTACCGTTGGGGTACCTTTTCGGACCACCCTCGCCGCCCCCCCATTTATGACCCCCAATTACGCGGCGCCCAAAAGACGGCCCGAGATGGTTTCCAGTAAGCCGTGAGGTCCGCGCGGGATTGGATCCGAGCTGGACGACCCCTCGGGCGGCGCCTCCGGCGCCGCCCCTGCCCTGCCGCGCTCCGCGCGCCAGAGGAGTCCAACGCCGATGCAAGAGATCCGCGCGGCTTCCGAAGATTATTTTCTACTCACGCCGCTCTTTAACCGTGGAGAAGAAGGGACAGGTGATTCACATCTCATGCATGTGCCATGCTCACGCGATAGATCTCCACGAGGGGGCGGAGCGGGGGGTGATGGATACGAATGCACTCTCAGGAGGCCAAGTTTTTCAGCCGTGCGCTGCCCGCCCTGGCAGCCAGAGTGGGGCGAGGAGCCGGGGTATAGGGCGACGCAATCTATACACATCCACTGCTCCCTGGCCAGGCCCATCCTGAACACAGCAGCTGTGTATCCGCCACGCCCTCCTGGTTTGGCCAGGAGGGCGTATACACAGCTCCTGGGTTCAGGAAGGGCCTGGCCAGGGAGCAGTGGATACGTATAGACTTCGTCCCCCGAGGGTATGGAGCGAGCCCATCCCCGACGGAGAGGGGGGCTGGCCGTCTGTCTTGCGCGCGGCCGTGGGCCTCGGCAGCGGCCCCCCTCGGCGCCGGCAGAGCCCGAGCAGTGTGCAGAAGCCCAGCCAACCTCGGGTCGGGCGAAAGGGGGGGGTATAGCAAAGGGGGGGTTTGAGACTCAGCTCACGCAGCTGATCTTCCCGGCGCCTCCCGGCGCCGGGAGGCGGCTATGCATCGAGGAATGGGCCCCTCGGTGAGGCCGAAATCACCTGCATGCAGCAAATTTCGTACCCCCCCCTTTCCCAGCCCCCCCCTTTCATCCGGCCCGACGACCCCACGCAGCCCCGAGCCTCGCGCATTCGCCGGCGCCGCGTCCTCCCTCCCCCCCCCCCGAGTCGTCGGCCCCCCGCCACTGTCGCCCACGGCCACCCCGCCGCGCAGGCTCGCCCACCCCCCGCTGCTCGACACCCAAAACGTCGAGCCTTGCTTCGCGTCGCGCGGCCGGCCCTCCCCCGGCCCTTGCTTTTCCCCCTCCCTTCGGTGGTTCAAAGACGGGGTCCTGAGGGATGGGGTCCTAGGGGTGGAAGGGGATCCGAGGGTGGATCTGCATTGTTTGAGGCTCCTCGTCCTCAGGATTAGGTCGGGCATGTCCCCCTACAGGCGGATTTCTGGCGAAGCATTCGCATGATCGACCCACGAAACAGGGGAGGCGTGGAAACAATTTCAAGATACCTGGTTGGGCAACGGGCAGTTGCAATGCTCAGTGGATTGGTCTTGATGTACCATGCCAAGGGCTACGCTGTGCTGCGCCATGCTGAACGGCGACGTGCGATGCCGCGATTGTGCTTGATAACGTTGTGGACCGAGTCCGCCTTTGCATCCGAGTCCTGACCGAACTGATTTGGATCTTAAGCTCGAGCTGCCGGAGCACATAGTAGCTACCCCAGAGCTAGTTGAAGTGGAAACGCGCGGAACATTCAATCAACTCAAACTCAAAATCCGACTCAGCTCCGAAAAGGAACGACACGACACGGGGCACAGGCTCACGGACGCGCCACAGGATGCGCCAGGGCAGCATAGGGGATGCGCCAGGGGCATGTCAGGGGACGTATCAGGGGACGTGCCCTGGACGTGTCAGGAACCTGCCACGGGACGTGCCAGGGCGCGTACCATGGGGCGGCCAGAGGACGACATGTCGAGGGACGTTGCAAGGGGCGCGCCATGGAACGGGCAGGGGAAACGCCTAGGGACGAGCCAGGAAACGCGAAACGGGACAAGCCAGGGAATGTGCCACGCCGAGTGGCGTGCTAGGGGACGTGCCAGGGCACGCCACGCCAGAACGTCGCAAGGGACGCACCAGGGGGCGCGCCAGCGCGCCAGGGGACGCCCCACGGACGGGCGGGGTTGGACTGCGACGCAGTCGCTCGAGGCATCCTCAACAAATCCTCTTACTAGACATCCGCGTGGGCGACCTGGGCACGTGAAAACAAGCGTTTCGCTCGAGACATCCTCAACACATCCTCATATTACACATCCGCCAGGGCGACCTGGACACCTGAAACCAAGCGTGTCGCCCAAGACGTTCTGAACAAATCCACATGCTAGAAATCTGCCTGGGCAACCTGGACGCGTGAAAACACGCGTTGCGCTCGGGACATCCTGCCCAATTCCTCATACTAGACATCCGGCGACCTGGACACGTGAAAACAAGAGATTCGTTCGAGACATCCTCAACACATCTTCATGTTAGGCATCCGCCTGGGCGACCTGGGCAGGGGTGAAAACAAGCACTTCGCTAGAAATATTCTGAACACATCCTCATGCTAGGCATCTGCCTGGGTGACCTGGACACGTGAAAACAAGCGCCTCGCTCGAACCATTCTCAACACATCCTCATGTTGGACACGCGCCTGCGCGACCTGGACACGTGAAGCCAAGCGTCTCCTTCGAGATGTCCTCAAACAAATCCTCATGCTAGACATATGCCTGGGCGACAAGGTCTCGTGAAAACGAGCGTCTCGCTCGAGAGATCCTCAACATATCCTCATGCTAGACATCTGCCTGGACAACCTGGACGCGTGAAACCAAACGTATCTCTCGAGTTTTCCTCACGACCCAGGCACGTGAACTCCAGCCTTTCACCTGAGAGGTCCTCTGAGGTCTGGTCCACAGGAGAGGAAGAATCTACAACACAAAATAAGCGCCTCGCTCAAGACATCCTCACCAAACTCTGCAAAACTAGGGTTTCGCTCGGGACATCCTCGACTTCGAATTCGCCGGACCTGTGCGACCTCAAATTCCCCGGCCCTACGCAAGTCGAGGCCGGGGTGTTTGAGAATTTAAAGAACAACCCTGGGACCCCGCCATTTCCGGGAAAACTTGCAAGAGCTACGCAGATGGAGGGCAGGTGGTTTTCAGAATGTGGTTCTCGCCTTGGCGGCCGCACATTCGTTTCGAGCATGATCCACCCACGAACACAGAAAAGGATGTAGAGATGCGAAACGCAGCACCGTTTCCAAGACGTCATAATTAGACGACGGGCATTCACAATACTCAAAATAACGATCATGATGTACCGTGCCACGGGCTGCGGTACTGGGCCCTGCTGCGCCTTTCTGTGTTTAAGTCAACTTGCCGCGCCGCTTTCAGCCGTGCCGCGCCCTTTTACATCGTGGATCAAGCCGTCCTTGACCTCAGAATTGTATTGTGGCCGAACAATTTTGAATCATAAGCTCGAACTGCCTGAACGTCTATCTCGAGCTGATTCTAATCGAAACGCGCGGGGCGCTCGGCGGGAACGCCGCGCCATCTCCGTCAGAAGACAGAGCGCCACAGACCCAAAGCCAGGTGGCAAAAACAAGGCTTAATGAAACACCACCAGGACAGAGAGGGGAGGGGCAGTGGACCTGAGCCGACAGGTCGGCATGCGCGCAATGCGACTAATCGGTGCGTGACAGATCGACGGGTGTTCGCTGCATGACAGGCCGAAGCAGGCGACGGCATCGCGATGCCCTGCTCACCGCGTGCGAGAAAAATTGCCTCGGGAACTCACGCCATACCACCACAACTCTCCAGGACTTCTTCCTCTGGCCCCCAGCCGTGTGGCAGTGGCCCCGAAATG